TGGAAAAATTAGAAATGAGAAACTTTCAGGTGGGTGTAATATTACTTTATATTTTAGTGCACACTATAAGGCTGGGGTGGAGGGAACACATAGGCTTCATGTATTCCAAGACTGTGTCCTCTGAAGGTCTTAATTATGCCTTGGTTCCACCCCAGCAGAGCTAGGAGATAAAAAAACAGAAGGACCTTAGGAAGGAGGATTAGCCAAATATTGGTAGTTAGGATCCTTAATTAACTGAATTCATTTTTCTGAGCTCTACTCCTCTGAGAAAGACAGTAAAATAGATGTAAATTTAATACTTTCTAATGAAAGCAGCCTGTTTGATGAATACTCTCATTAATGAAGGCAATATATTCTACTGCAAAATTTTTACTTTAAAAATTTGTATACTTTTTAAATATAAACTTGTAAATAAAATTATAACCTTTAATTTTCCCCCAGAATACAGTCTTTCTCCCTCTTTTACTTCTTATGGCTTGGCTCCTCCCTCCTGTCACCTCCATTACACTCACATCCATGGCCATCTTGTCTATCAGTAATCCTAGTGACTACGTAATATATGTGCTTCTATATTTTACTTGAAAACACACACACACACACACACAGGATTTTAATTTTTCTTTGGAATATATTGCTAAGAGGGGGATTGCTGGATCACAAGGATAATATATATGTGTATACATACATACATATACTTTTTAAAAAGAAGAGTTGCAGCTAGATCTTGCTTTTAATATGTCAAGTGGCCGTGAGCATTCTCCTTTTCTCCCTGGACTTCATTTTCTCCCTCAGGCATATGGGATTACAGATGACCTTGAACATCCTTTTCAGACTGTTCTAAACTTCTCTGCGTCTGCGCAGTGCCCACTGCCCTGTGTTCTGCTGCAGTGAAGTGGGAATTGTCACTACTGCTGACTCAGGAGCAAGCGTCCTGCTGTCTGAGTCTGGAGATTTTTGGACGTATAGTTTGCACACAAATGAGCTCCTCAGTGGAAGCCCTGATTTCCAAGTATGGACTCTTCTGAAATGCTCTGGTGAAGGAAGATTGCCTTGATTCATTTGTCTCCTCAGCATGGGGGTCTGGATGAGAACTGGACAGTGAGGCTGAGTACAGAGCTCCAAGCTTCTGCTATTTATGTTGAGATTAACATTGATTTAAACAAAAGGTGCTTCAGGGAACACTCAGTGGCTTCTGTGTTTGAGCAATTTTCCAGGATGCTCATAATTTTTTTAAAATAAAAGTGATACTTGATTGAGCAACAAGACCACTGAATAAGGAATGAAAAATGATGCAGCATGATTACCTATTTTATGAGGCTTTCTGTTTTGAGCATGTCTACCCATATTAAGCTTCTGGGGTGGGAGGGGGAAAACGGACACTGCTTTATTTGCTAAATTCTTAGGGCTTCAAACATATGATTTATCTAGACTAAATAATGACAACAGCTTATTAAAAGCACACCAGGGAGACAGTCTCAATCTAGGCCCTTCATTTCATTCTCTCAATTAATCCTCAAGCCCCACCTCCAAGGTACTTAATTCTTATTATCAACATTTTACTGATCAGGAATTCCCTTCAAGGTTACAAAACCAGGAGGTGGTGCACTCTCTCTGCAGAACCCACATTCTTAACACAGAACAATGCTGCAGTGGAACTGGGCAGTAGTAGACAAGTGGGACAAAATTGCTGCATGGTTCTGGACTACCAGTAAGGTCACCTGAAACCCACACTGAGCTCTCACATCCATCTTCTGTAGAAGTTTTAGGCGATAAGAGCTCCCTCCTGAGAACTGCCTGAACAGACACCCACTCGCATCACAGTTCACATGTTGAAGGATGGTCAGGACCAGGATCAAATCTTAGCTCTGACTGTTGACCCTGGGCAATTTTCCTTGCCTCTCTGTGGAAATGCACTAGCAGCTGTTTTTTGCATGCTGCCCTGAGGACTTGAGGAGACTGGTGCCACAAGCGCCCAGGGCAGGCACTCGCTGCAAAACATCTTGTCCTTTCCTCCTCTTTCCTTTTCCTGGGAGAAGGAGGGCAGCGATCTGCTTGCAGTAGGCCGTCCTTCGGGCCCTCTCCTACCGGGTTTCCAGGTTGCCTTTAGTGTCTGGCACAAACACCAGCGTCTAGGCTCTTGCCTGACGGCCTTTTTTCTTTCAGCTACCCCATACCGCCGGGTGAACGCGGGTTTTCACAAATTGCTATTTATTTGCTTATCAGCAAGAAAGGGTGGGGGGACAAAGTGATCAAGGACAAAATCAATTACTATTTTTCATCTTTGACAAAGTAATTAAGGCCGTAGTGACTAATTCCGACCCAATGATTGCGCGGTGATGGAGGTGATGGATGCGGATTTACAGCCTCCTTGGCTGCAGCGCGCAGGGCCGGGGATTATCACTCCAAACAGGCGGCTGCGGAGGGCGGGGGCTGAGGCCCGAGTGGAGAGGACGTGAACCTTTTCTTCCCTGCCTCCCCCGCTTATTTATTAATTAAACACCGCAGCTCCATCCTCTGAGCTGCGGAGGCTCTGACACACAACCCGACGCAGGACAAGCTGTCCCAGGCTGGCTTTTTGCCTCCCTACACTCTTTCTTGCCTTCTTACCCCAACCCTCTATCTCTACCGGTGCTGGTCACCCCACTCCCGCGATGGCCTCAGAGCGACCTCTCTAGACCTCTTAGCTCCTAACGCTCCCTCTACACTCCATGCAGCCCCTCCTTTCTAGAATCTTGCGGCTGAAAGTGTGTGAGTGTGGTGGTGGTGATAGTGGCCACGGCGGCTGCGGCGCAGAGTGGGGTGGGGGGCGTGTGTGGCGAGTCCAAGCAGCACCTCCACCAACCCCCACCGCAGCCTTTCCGGCACGTCACCCGCCTCTGCAGGGCCTGACGTGCAGCGGGCCCCACGCTGGAACCCAAGTGCGCATTTGGCCGGGGAGGGCCCGAAGGAGACACGTCAGGCCTCGTGACTGAGCGGGGGCGCCGAGTGCCCAGGGCCGCAACTGGGGGAGGTGAGCAGGCCAGCGCGACAGTTGTACTTCTGTTCAGTACTCTTCCTTCCCACGCGTCCCCCCGCCCCACTCCCAGCCAGGCACATCCGTGCGCCCCGGAACGTCCGGGTGCCAAGTGAACATTCCATTTGCACTTGGTCCTTTGAGGGGGGTTGCTCAGATGCAAGCTTGGAGACTGGCCAGAACCTTTCAAAGTCGTGACTATTCCTTGTGGAAGTCGGCCCAGGCACGGAAAAAGGGGGGCCTACACGGAACTCGGGGAGAGGCTCGTGGCTCAACTTGGGGCTGAGCATTCCACAGAAGCCAGGGCCTGCCAGGTCTGCCCTATCCAGTTATCGAATTCTGGTCTTGTTCCTTTTTTGGAAACTGGGGTCTGTTCAGAAGAAGCTCCCCACAAGTTCCCCTTGTGTTTGCCCGACGCAAACCAGGCCGGAAGTATTCGCCCCTGAGGGATTCTCACCCCAGTGGGCTACCTGAGCCTTCTGCAGCCGGTCCACCACGGCGCCACTCCTAACCTCTCATCCCTCCTCCCGAGCTCTCCAGGTTTCCCTCTGAGTAAACCAGGGAAAGATCAAGGACTGGCCTCAGCAATGCCCCGCGCAAGATGCTTAGGGGTTTATCTGGGGAGCGAGCCTCCGTTTTTCCAGTTTTAAAGTTGGGATAGTTTCTCACGGATTGTTGCCAAGATTAAATGCGATAATCTCATGAAAAGCCCTTGCACAACGGTTTAATATTGAAATCTCAATAAATGTTAACTCGAAACTACAATAAAAAGAGGCCCGAAACCGGCAAGGAGACTCCAAAGGAAGGTCTCTTCAGGAATCCCCCCGCCCCCCCAGCCACACACACACATCGCGAGCCCCCAGTAGTGCAGATTGTAAGTCCCCAGGTGGCTGCCCTCGGGAGGGGCCCGGCGGGAGGACGAGCGAACGCACAGAGGCGTCCAGCACAGCCGTCCTGGGAGGGTTAGGGAGGAGGAAGAAGCGGGCTCCACAGTGCCCCAGGCGCCCGCCGCAATCTGCCGCCGCAGCCTCCGCCGCCGGCCGCAGCCTCATTGTCCTCCCGCGGCGTGGAGACTGCGCAGCCGAGTGAGACGGTGCGGACCCTGAGGCAGTGGACCCGGCTGCGGGCTGCAGGGAAGGGACAAAGTGCTTTCCGTAGCTCTCATTCCCGAGGCCAGGGGTTCCTCCAGCTAGAGTGGCAAGAAAAAAAGGATAGGAACGTATTTTTGCTGCGAATCCTCTTCTATAGTCTCCAACCGACATCTTTTTTTGTAAAGGTATTTTCCCTTTTAGGGAGTATAGCCATTGCTTTGGACCAACAGGAAAGTCCATAGTCGACCGTTTAATTGTCAAGGCCACCCCCAATCCCCGCTGCAGTATGGTTCAACGTCTGCCTGATGGCTTCCCAAAAGGCCAACCCTGACCTCGTTGCTTGGAATCTTGATGTGGGGGGATTTCAAATTAGGCCTCTTTGTGGGGTTTCATTAAAAGGGCTATGAAGAAAGTGAGTTTCCTTTGCATTTCAAAGGGGCCTGAGAACCAAGTCAGTGTTGGAAATAATTTCCTTCTTACTTCTCTAAACTGTTTTTTAGAAGAGCTAAAAAATTACAATGAAAACATTCGATGATACACATGAATTTTCTCTTGGTCTAAATTTTTAAGCAAAAACCTAGGATTTCCCCAAAACTGATTGGGAAAGAGGGATGTGATAACCTGAAGTCAGGCAAAGTAGGTACACCCTTGAGCATGCAGGACCCATGCATGTACCGGCCATTGCAGAGCTGTGGGGCTACGTGCAGACAGACCCTCGGCCGCTTCCGGCATAGTATTTTGGAATCCGCTGAAGTCTTGGGAAATAGCAATGGAATTTAGTGGAAAACGGTAATCATTTAACCCCCTCCCCGTTCTCAGTGAGACAGCCCAATCCACTCTGTCCGCGGCTGCGCCTCGCCTTGGGTGCAGTGGGACGTGTCCCTCCCATGTTTCCCTTAATTAGGAGGCAAACTTTTGTCGTCCCCTCCCACCCGCTTTGGTTTAGTAATCAGACCCACATGAGTCACGCCAAACACGCAGCCCCCTTCTGCCCAAGTGACAACTGGCCAGCATACTGTAGGCTGTTGTCCCTTTAAAACTCGAATCCAAAGGGGCAATGATTTATCAAACTTGTATTATCAAGAAGATGTCAACCGAAGGGCACCTTGCTATGCACTGACGCAAACCCGGCCTTTCCCACCGAGATATAGAAAGCGCCTCTCCTACCCGAGCCAAACCCAGTCCTACTAAATAGCGGGTTTCACTCTACCGGTTCAATCTGTTGCCTGTGTCAGATATGGTGAGTGTTTGCTTTTTGTTTGTTTGTTTAAGAGGAAAGGGGGTTAAGGTATTAGGGCAGGTTCATTTAGGATATTTCTTTTTGAAATGTCTGTGCATTGGGCCAGAGGGAGCGAGGAAAACAATTTTCGCCCTAAGGACTCTATTTGTACTTAAAGAGCATCTTCATACCTGAGGTTAGAAAGAAGCTTCCTAGGCTGTAGACCTGAGGGGTCGGCGGCTCCCCAAGACAGGATTCCGGGCACTGTCCTCGGTGCTGAAAAGTCAGATGCCGGTACACGGGAGAATCGCTGTGGGTTCTAGAGGTTTTCAGATACGAAGGATGGCTGAAGTTGTTCTTAGATTTGGTGCAAATTAAGGAGTTCTGATCTGTGACTGAGTAAAAGGGGGTTAGATGAGAGGCACGCGGTTGAGGGGATGATTAGTTTTTCAGTATAATAAGTATTATTGTTAATGTGTAGGAAGCCCTGAGAGATAACATGAGGGGAGAAAACTGATGGAAAACCCACCGCTGGCCATTCTTTTCATTTGAAATTCAATTAGAAGGAAGCAAATGAAAATTATTCTCGAGTTTTGGTCCCGAGTCAAGCGGGAAGGTGTGTGTGTGGGGGGGAGTGCAGCTAAAAAGAAAAATACAAAACTTTGCAGGTTCTTGTACGTTTCTGGTAATCTGTAAGTGAATGTAGGTTGTGAAAGGTAACAATTCAATTACTAATTTGTGTTCTAAGTCTGGCTTATTGCTTTTTTGTTTGTTATTCTGATCTTGATCTTTATCTTTGCCTTTGCTACCTGGTGGGCGGGGGTGGGTTTGGAGCTCTGGGCTTCGTGAAACCGACGTGGCCTCAAGCCTTGGCTGGTGCCAGGGCATCAGCTTTGTGGTCACAGCTTGTCTATCGGAAGAAAAAAAAAAGGCAATGTGCATTGTTGAATGACAAAGGAAATGGGGCGGAAAATTAAAGAATCTTTCTACAATGGTGATGGAGACGCGGGCACCCCACAACCGTGATTTGAAATCCAAAAGGGGCAGGGAACTCATGGCTGTAGGGCTATTTCCATTCTCCCTTCCCCCCCTCAAAAATAAATTCTGCCTTTTTTTTGGGGGGGGGTTCATCCCCCATCAGAGGGAATATTAGCTTCTTTATGTCGTCTGGTTATTGACTCCCTAATTGAGAAATGCTAATTGAACTGGTGAAAGAAAAAAGAATCCAGATTCCATTTGCTCCCCCAGATATTGTGTCTGGACCTGTGTTGTGAAAGTCTTTCTATGTAGTTGCAGATATTTTTAAGCTGCCGTGACTTTTTTTTTTTTTTTTTTTTTTTTTGCACGAACTTGACGTTGTGTTTGCAGGATTGCAGTGCTTCCAAGGAAACGAATAAACAACCAGTCAACAGCATGGAAGCGGCGGCCCAGGACCACCGAGAGAGCCCGTGCGCACCAAGAACGAGCCCGGAGCAGGAGCTTCCCTCTGCCGCCGCCGTCGCTCCACCACCACGAGTGCCCAGATCCGCTTCCACCGGCGCCCAAACTTTCCAGTCCGAGGATGCACGAGTCTGCGAGGCCCAGAGGCCAGGAGTGGGGTTTTGCAAACTCAGTAGCCCGCGAGCGCAGGCGGCCTCAGCGGCCCTTCCAGACTTAAGCGAAGGGTACAGCACGCAGGGCACCCCTCTTTCTGGGGGCGCCGGGCCCGGCAACGCGTTGCACTGTAAGATCCCGGTTCTGCGCGGCCCAGAGGGGGATGAAAACGTGAGTGTGGGCAAGGGCACGTTGGAGCGGAACAATACCCCGTCTGTGGGCTGGGTGAACATGAGCCAGAGCACCGTGGTGTTGGGCACAGATGGGATCGCATCGGTGCTCCCGGGCAGCGTGACCACTACTGCCACACAGGTAAGCTGGTCGTATGCTATCCGCGCCGCCGCCTGCTCTCCAGCCGCGCGAGAGGCAAGCTGAGCCGTGGCGGGTGCACGTGTGCTGATGGGGAGACGGGTTGGCAGTGCCAGGTGGTGGATGCAATAGTGAGCTTTGGGGCTTCAGAAGCTCGCACAGCGCTGGGGTCGTCAGTTCAGGGCGCGAGGGCTGCAGTGACCCTGCCAGAGGGGCTGCGACATGCTCCTTCCCAGCCTCTGTGGTAGTTAGAATATGGGTGCAAATTAAGAAATAGTTGAAGCAGATAGATTCTACCCCTTTATGCAGACACGACTCCCTCGTCTGTCAATGACTGAGTCTTTCGTTTTTTTTTTTAATTATGACTTAAAAGAATCAGAGAAAAGCCCTTAGGACGAGGTCGGTGGATAATAATACATGTTCTGTAGTCTTTAAACTGCCAGTTAACATTTATCATCTGTGAACTTATTTGGTGAGAGGCCGGTTTACAAGAGCTACTGAAGCTTAAGCTTCAGGGCCAACTTTTGCCTGGACTCTTCCAAAACCGTATCAAATTTTGCCCCTAATGTAGACCACTTCGGCTACATAAATGTCAGGCTCCACCCACCTGGCTCTACCCCTGCATTTGGTTCTTTACTATTCAACCAGAGGCATGAAAAATCCACAGAGCAGATCCCAATCCCTGGGTTAGGGATGAAGGCAACTGCCTGCTCCTTTATGGGCTTTTGTTTCCATTTCCCCCCAGCCTCTCTCCTTCCTTATCTCTCTCTTCTTTCACTCTCCCCTTCCCACTGCCTGCCTTTTTTCTATCTCCTTCCCAGGGCTCAGGGGCTAGGCCTATGTGGTGTGTGTGTGTGTGTGTGTGTGTGTGTGTGTGTGTATGTGTATTGGGGAAGGTAGGGGAGAGTGCTGGACCAGAATGTCTGCTCATGTGAGATGTGATTTATACACTCATTCTAACCTTAGTCACACTTCTATTTGTGTGTACACAAACACATACATGCACTTGTATGTACATTCTTACTCATTTACAGGCCCACACATCAGAAGCTCAGCTGTTAGGATAACTAGAAATAAATATAAACTTGGACATTCCCACTTGCCCTTGGGTTTGGGGTCTATTCCTTGAGCATTTGCCTTTGTGTATTATCTGCCTTTCACAGCATACACTCGACAGTGTGACCCCAGGTGGAGATGAAATTTTGTTTCACATGCTTTGCCTAACCTCCCCACTGCACTGCGGCAAAAGAGCCGGAACTCCCACCCTTTCCAATCCACCCCAAAGATTAGAGGGTGGGGTTAGAGGTGGAGATGATACGTGTGTGAGAGAAGTAAAGGGAAATTTTACAGATGTTCAGATTCTTGAAATTTCTTTATTTTTCAACCTGCTCATGTATATGATTGTGCCTTTCTGGTACCCACCCTGGTCCTTCTTCTCCCTCCCCTCGACCTCCTCTCTTCCTGAGAGAACAGCTGGTCTATAGAGCAGTGCAGGACTATAGAACAGTGTTAAAATTAAACGTGGAGGAGGTAGAAGTTGTGCAGTGGCCTGAGTCCCCTGGAGACCTTGTGCAGTGCCCAGCTACCCTGAACACATTTAGAAATCATCCGAGGTAGCCCAGTATTTAGTAAAGCATTCCTGAACCAGTTATTGTCCCCCAATAAGTCATTTTATGTGAGTTTGGAGAAGTGAGCCCCCCAAATTCTTGGATTGCTGGAACTGGCAGCTGCCTTATGGGACAATCATTCTAGCCCTTCATTTTACAAATGGGGACACAGAGGTTCTGAGAACAAGTTCCTTGCCTAGGGTTATCTATCTGGTTGATACTAAAGTTTAGAGCACTCAAGGTTTCAGAAAGCCTATCTCACCATCTCTGCCTTCTCTGTTCTCTGTTTCACTTCAAATCTCCATCTTGCCCATCTCCCTTGCCCCAGGGTTGAAGGAAGGATTTAATTCCCTGATCAGGCAGGTTCTGCCGCAGGCATTAATAGAGAAAGTGAGGCAGAGGCTCTGGCTGGCTTTTAAGCATTGCAGCTCTCTTTCTAGCTTTGGCTCACACTTCAAAGAAGAAAGGTGGACAGTGAGGGTTTTTGTGGGGAGGGGAGGAGTTGGTCAGGAACCTGCTTGCTGGGAAATTTAGGCATGATGTTGGGGGACTGCTTGCCAAATGAACTCTTGGTGAAGGGTTGGGGTGAAGGGACCTGCTTGCAATCAGTCTACACATAAAGGTTTGGAAAAGCTGCTTGCTGTGTGCCCTGACTGTAGGGCTTGGGAAAGAGGGGCTCAGGGGGTCTGCTTAAAATGGATCTTCACCTAAAAATTGGGGGCCTGCTTGCTGACTCTCAATGTAGGGTTGAGGGGTGAGGACCCTGCTTGTAGATGCATCCTTTCTTTAGAATTGGGTTTCTGCTTGCTGATGCATCCTTGGTTGAAAAGTTGGGGACTGCTTGCTGGGACGGACCCCCAGTTGGGGGGAGGGGAGGAATGGGGCCTGCTTGCGGACCTACCGGGGCTGTTATCCGACAATGTGCTTTTCCGCCCCCAGGAGGACGAGCAAGGGGATGAGAATAAGGCCCGAGGGAACTGGTCCAGCAAACTGGACTTCATCCTGTCCATGGTGGGGTACGCAGTGGGGCTGGGCAATGTCTGGAGGTTTCCCTACCTGGCCTTCCAGAACGGGGGAGGTATGGCTTTTCAGCTCTTTCCGCCTGCGGCGCGGCGGGGCGGGCACTTGAGGGTTGGAGGGGGCCCGGAGCCCTCAGGCAGGGGCGGGGAGGGAAAGCTCAGGGTCGTCTCCTGTTCTCTAGTTCCTTGCTCCATAGGTTTGAAAGTAAAGCCAGGAGGCAGGGGCGGTTGTAACCATTTGGATTTAGGTTCCGGAGGCTTTCATCTGGAGATGGCTCAGGGGCCCCAGGAACCTCTACTGGCCCAGTTTGGGGGACCGGGTCCTGAGCCACGTGGACAAGGGTGCAGGGAAGTTCGGCGCCAAGTATTAAGGAAGTGTTGGTACTCCCTGCACCGAATCACCTTTAGATTCAGTAGCACGGCAGTCTTGGCGACCCGAATTAAAAACCTTTGACATTATAATGTGGAAAGCAGAACTTCCTTTGGAGACTTTGGGAATGTGTGCGGAATGCATTCTAGCCAAGGACTGCCAGCCGAGAGAGGGGCTGGAGGTCGTACATACCCTCTGAGACCCTCAGAAGCATCCCACCCCAACACACTCCTAAGCAAAAGCAGGGCGTATTTTTCATTTCAGCAAACTTCCTTAGCAAAAACATGTTTGCTACCTTTTGTCCTCAACTTAGTGAAATACACTGCTGTTGAACGAAAACTATTCCAGTTATGGGACCACTAGAATTCATTGTACAAGGAGAAAGGATCCCACATAGCGGGAGTCCCCTTGATTGCCCGCCCATGGTGGAGGCACCACAGGGAAGGTGGCTAGCCCCCAGGTCAGCCAACTGGCAAGTCCCCTCTAGGAAAGGACTTTGCCCTAGAGCTCCCTTCCACGTCTTCTCAATTGAACCAAAGGGAGGAGACCCGTGGCCCCATCCATAGGTCTTTTTTCTTACTTATTTTCCCCCTCTTTTTGTCTTTTGGGTCTGGCTCTAGGCCGAATTTGGTGCACAACGAGGGACAGGTGCTGCGCCAGGGCACAATTAAAATGGGAAATAGATGAGTTCTCCATCCCAAATTAGGACACGTTGACAAGTACTTATGAGGACCGCAGAGCTTTTGCAATAGGGGTGTCCTGGAAGCAGAAGAATTCGTGCTAGCCGCGGGAATAGAGACATCCTACCTGGGTTTCTATTTGGTTTCCCACAGGGAGTCCTCAGAACAGTGTGCAGAAAGTGGGCAGGAGGTGCCATAAGAAGCTTAGGGACTTAAAGGGAGTTGAGTATGGGAATGCAGGGTGGGAAGAGGATTCAGCATGCCAATTTGGTCCACGGGTAATCTGCAGAGTGCGGGATTGTGTCTGCAGTACCGTTCCCAGGCGCATCTGAGCCGAGCCAGGCACCTGGAGGTGCGGAGGCAGCCTTTTCCGCACTGCGGATCCTGATACCCACTGCAGCCCAGGATTGGTGGGGGGCTGGCCCCTTCCTCAGGAGCAGGATTGCACAATTCACATCTTTCTCAAAAACCCCACTTAGAGAGGATTACAGCAGGATCCTGGGTTTTATTCCCTGGCTCCTGCTGGACCTTGGTGGTTATGAGAACCCTTGGCCGGAAAGGCCCTTCTGGTGGACAGGAAGTTGGAAGAAATGTGGGAATAACACTAGGACTCCCAACGATCAGTTTTTTTTTTCCATGATTTTTTTGACTGAGCAGTGTTCTGAGCTCTGGCATCTCTAGTCCCCTGAATTAACCCTGACCCTTGCAAAGGCATTTTCTGCTGAAAACCTTTTCAAAGGTCATGGCAATTCCCCAAGCTTCTCTCAAACAGCTTCAAAGAATCCTTAAAGAGAAAGAACCCTAGAGAACCCAGCAAGCCTGTGGAGGCCCTCCAAGTACTGTTGGCCTAGGTAGTGCATTCTGGGAATAAGGAAACCTATATTGGAGGGCTTCAGGGGGCTCCTAGCCTAGACAAGATACCCACATAAATACTTTGGAGTGCCTGGGGCCAGGTACTGTGGAAGGACATAGAAGGGAGATTACCTGAAGGAAAGAGCACTTGTCAACCCTGAAGGATGGAAGGGAGGAGGTCTCATGTAAAGGAAGCTGAGACATGTGTGATGGTGGTGGTGGGGAGAGGGAAGGGGTCTGGCTGCCTGTGGAGCAGAGCCGGGCTCTACCTGGTTGTCAGATGTGCAGGTAGCATAAAGGAGGGTCTCTGGAGACTAGCTGAGCAGACTCTAAGTCCTTGGAGGTTTCAGCTCTGATGAGATTTTACAGATCTACCTCCAATAGTGAGTCGAAGGCATGACTTTTTGAACCCCGGAAAGACTTTATTTTTGGAAACTGAATGAGTGTAAAGAAAAGTCCACCAACATATAACCCCTAGTATCCTGTCTGGTGAGAAATCGAAACGAGGAGTGTTTTTTGTTTTTGCCTGTCTACACTTACAGTATTTTGAGAAAAGCTCTAACATGTCTTGTGGGTGCTTCTTGTTGGTTTAGAATACCAAACACGTCTTCAGAAAAGAGGATAAATTGTCCTTTAGTTTATTGAGAGGAGGCCCAGCTCCTAACCCAGAGGGTTAAGGTGGGCCAGAGCCGTGCCTTTGCCTCCCAGGGCTCTCACGTCCAACTCTTTCTTTCCAAGGTGCTTTCCTCATTCCTTACTTGATGATGCTGGCACTGGCTGGGTTGCCCATCTTCTTCCTAGAGGTGTCACTGGGCCAGTTTGCCAGCCAGGGGCCAGTGTCTGTGTGGAAGGCTATCCCAGCTTTACAAGGTGAGTCCAGACCTTCTCTTATTCCTGCCCTCTCTGCCACCACACAGCTCTGGGAAGGAAGATCTATTTTCATGATTGATGGAACTTCCTAGTATTTAACCCCAGTAAAGAATGGCCCAAGATCATCTCTGTCATTGTTGAATTCCTGGCATTATGTCTCAATGCCCCAGGCAGACATAGACTCACTTCCACTGTCAATGCATCCATCTGCACAAGAGAGTCAAGACCAAGGTCCTCACCCTGTGCCCAACTGTTAGCATTCCGCAGGATTTGAGGTGGAATGAATCCCTGGAATTTTTGTTTTTGCAGGCTGTGGCATCGCAATGTTGATCATCTCTGTCCTAATAGCCATATACTACAATGTGATTATTTGCTACACACTTTTCTACCTGTTTGCCTCCTTTGTGTCTGTGCTACCCTGGGGCTCCTGCAACAACCCTTGGAACACGCCAGAATGCAAAGATAAAACCAAACTCTTATTAGGTAAGTTTGGACGTACTTCAGTTGTGTGTGTTTTGAGCAACTTATTCATTTAACAAAGATTAATTGAGCACATATTATGCATGCCAGGTCCTATACTAGGTTCTGGGGGCACAAAGCCAACATACTTAATTTAAGCATTTAAAGAGTTCATGGTTCTAAGGAGGAGTGGTCAAATTTTTGTTTGCTCATGAATAGCTTAATGTTTGTTAAAAATGCAGATTCATAGTCCTACCCAGGATGCAGTTGGCTTAATGAAATTCAGTGGGGCCAGGAAATTTCAAGTTTTACAAAGTAGTCTAGGTTCTTCTTTTGTTTCATAGAGTGTTTGTCACACTAGCAGCATTACTTGTGAGGGGCTTGAAAGCCTCCCTCTAGACTTCTGGAATGAGAAGTTGCATTTTGCCAAGATCAAGCACAGCACAATTTGAAAAGTGATGCTCTAGGTTCTAGAGTCTAGGAGAGTAATACAAGTGATCCCAGGGACACCCTTCACAAAGTACTGCTCAGTGCACAAGTCAATATGGGAGCAAACACATAGGCTTAGACCTTGGAGATAAATGTGCATAACACAGTGCCCTGCGGGGGGTGGGGCACGTCTGCTGGGGAGTCAGGGGTGTTCCTGGAAGACTTTGCAGGTAGGAAATCCATTGGGACTTGAGGTCTTGGGGGCAATTGTCAGTCTCTTGGGTGGAGGGCAAGAATGAAATGGAGGGGAAACAGGGCAGAAATGTGGGCAAGGCTCTCTGGTCTATAAGCTGTCTCTGCTTCTGACTTTATGTATCTCTGGGCCAAATAATTTCTCTCTGCGTCTCAGTTTTCCTCATCTAAGAAATAGAATAATAATATTCTGCACCCTATCTATCTTATGGGCTATTGTATGGAGAAAAGACATGAGGGATATGATGGCAGTTGTAAAGGTATAAAACTCTACAAATAGAAGGCATTAGTATCAGTCAATTTTGAAAGTTTTGGTCATTTTCATGGGGACCTTAAGCAAAGGGTTGCCTTTTTCCCTGGTAGATATGTGTTCTTCTTAAGCCGAGTTCATGCTGAGGCCATGTGCTTATGCTATCTATGATTGGCTCTTGGTATTGGCCTCACAAACCAGCTCTTCCCCCTACCCCCCGCCCCGTATTCTGCCCAGTGCAGCACTCAGGCAATGTTTGACTCCTTGTGTGTAAGAGCAAAGGATGAACACCCCCAACCCCCAAGAGAGGCATACACACCTAAAGATAGCAATTCCCACTGGAGTGTGTTTACCCTCAGGTGCCTGTACATACACACCATGTCCAGCCTCCACCTGGAGAAGCTTTGAGCAAGACTGAAAGGGAACTAAAACTAGAGACACGTGCCCATTGAATCCAAACCCTGTGTACCTGGAAGTGCTCAGGAATAGAGGGGTGGAGATTTATGAAGGTTTCCAGAGGTGCGATTCTTTGGTTGTATGACCAAGAGTCTATTCCTTAGTCTCTCTGAGCCATGGTGTGCTCATCTGTACCATTTCCATGATTCTTAGGTTCTGGGGGCACAAAGCCGATTTCTAACAACCAGACATACTTAATTTAAGCATTTGAGGAGTTGGTTATATGACCAAGAGTCTGTTCTAACAATCAGACATACTTAATTTAAGCATTTAAGGAGTTGGTTATATGACCAAGAGTCTGTTCTAACAACCAGACATACTTAATTTAAGCATTTAAGGAGTTGGTTATATGACCAAGAGTCTGTTCTAACAACCAGACATACTTAATTTAAGCATTTAAGGAGTTCGTTATATGACCAAGAGTCTGTTCCTTAGTCTCTCTAAGGTTCTCAAGTTCAGCTGCTGAATGTTAGTATTACCCGAGAACCAACAAATCAAAACATTCTTTAGGGTTCACCCACACCAATTAAAATCAGATTATTTAGGGACAGAGGCTAGGGAACTGTATGATTAAAGTTCCCCAGGTGCAACCAAGGGGAAGCACCATTAAGCCCACATCTGTGTGCATGTGTATATGCGAGATGGGGACTGAACCCAGGGCCACTCCACATTCTTTAATTAGGCTCCCCTTAGACAGTTTTGGAACGGAGGAGCCCACATTCTTTGCCCTGCACAGAACTTAGCTCTGCAAAGCTGCTGTATGGGACAGTCCCACTTGGTAGCTGTATAGAGTCACAACCATCAATCAGTTGCCAGAACAGCTTCCTGAAGATGGTTGCCATGTGAGAACGCAGAACTACCTCATGATCCCAACTCATCCCAGAGTCCTGCTTGTCCTTTCCAGATTGTGCCTGGGAGGGAAGTGACTTTCCAAGAGGGTGCCTGATAGAGCAGGGTTGTTGGGTTGATTCAGGCTCCATGGGATTCTTCCCTGGGGACTCGCCTCAGGGATAACATGAGTCATAGTGACAGTGTCCTGCAGCTGTCCTTCGGGAGGAATAGTGGTTTAGAAACACCATCCTCCTCTACTAACAATACTTGCTGATATAAGTGCATCCCTTACTCCACAGCAAGCACCAACTTTAACACTTTTATTGAATTATCAATGTCAAGGTGGACAACAAATAACATATGAGTTCTATTGTTGTTTCCATTTTACAGGCGAAAAAATTTGAGCTTAAAGTCATAGAGTTAGCCATGTGAGCTCAAAGTCATAGAGTTGAATCCAAGTTTACCCACTTTCCAAAGCCATGGACCTAAACACTATGCTAAATGCTTTCCAGTCTACCAAGTGGCTTTATAAATGTTTCCGTTATTCCTTATGGGAGCCCTCTGAGTTCCAAATGTCAGGTGGCATGATCACTATTTTGCGGGTGGCAAAATGGACTCTAAGGCTCAAGCTTTAAGTCACAAGGTAGAACCAGTACTAGAATTTGGGTCTCGCAACCTCTGACTTTCTGTTTGTCCAGGGTTCTTGAAAAATCTTTGGTCCAAGGTTCTATCCCAAAAGTCCCAGCCAAATGATATTACTCCAGTTGTTGTCTAACTGATGTTTGATATTGAAATTCTATGGGATAAGAAGAAAGCTTGGGTGAATTGTCAGTTTCCACTTCTAGAAGTCTATTTTATGAGGGAAATTAGGGTCAGGTAAATACTATACAAAATTGTTAATTACAGTTATGCTTGTAATTTTGGAAAACAGTAGAAGCACTTAAATATTTGACAGAATTCATACAATTATCAAGTTATCCCATAGTTTAAACATGGGAATATTCTCATCATATCATGTTAAATGTTACAGCAAGATGCAAATTTTAGAATAATTTTATCTTTACTAGTAATATGCACATGGATATGCATATTACTAGTAAATAATACTAATATGAATATTAACAGTGGTGGATTTGGGACCATTCTTTTCTATATTTTCTATCATGTTCTTATTTTTATAGCCAGTACCCAGCCCCCTCCATTTTAAAAAGTAAATTGAGCTTGTTAATTGGGCCACACACAAGGTAGAGGCCCCAGACAGGCAAGACCCTGCCCTGGTTTGGTTTTGTTGTTTCCAGCCTGACTCATAGCAACATAAAAGGCACAGTAGAGACATAACACAGCTAAGCTTTGGTCGACTGGTACAAACCATAAAAACTGTGCAAGCTCTGAGCAGAGACAATGGACATTTTTCACTTTGATTATTCCCTGTGAGCCTATGGGCAGGCTCAAAAGATCCTATCTCATCCTTAGCCATTGCTTTAATTTTTTTTTTGTTAAAAGAATAAGGTGTCAAACCCCCACTCTTCCTCTGTGCAGCCCCTCCATCTCTCATTTGGTGTTATCTGCGCCTGGGAGTGTTCCATTCCCGGGGGTCATGCTGTCACTTGCAGGAGGACTGATACTGTGGGGTTCTTGTATGATTTAAAAAAGGTGATAGTGACCTGACCTGCAGAGATGCAGACAGCTGTAGAGCCATCTGCTCTGCTGGACAATTGGTAGTCCAGACAGCAGATATTCCTGGACAATTTCCCAAGTGAACACACCAAGTGAGGCTTACTTAGGAGACAGAAAAATCTTTTTACCCCCAAATGTATGTCCCAAATGGCCTTCAGGTTCACCTTCTCCCTCTTAACCCCTTTACAACCCACCCTCATGACAGCTAGGTAAAAGGACTTGTCCTAGGAGAGAGGGGATAAATGGCCATAATTGTGACCTTCAACCACAGGGAGCGAATGGTTGTCCCATGCATCTCTCAGTGCTGCTAGGGACATGCTATCTGGGAGCTCTACCTCGCCACAGAGCAGCCAGGGCATTGTACCTAGGTCTACCCATGGGTAGAGGTTGAGTTTTACACTTATTTTCTAAAGTGCAAATTTGTAGAAGACACTATTTTGGGGTGACTCAACCCTCCAGGTATCTATAATGGAGAGCAACTAATCTGTGCCCTGCCAAATAAGACCAGCAACCGTTTTGTGAAAATAGGAGCTAGCAGGGTCACTCCAAATGGGAACAACATAAATACCATTTCTATTTCTGGAATGGCTCAATTTTCATTAGAACTTTAATTAAATGATTCCTATTCTCCCTAGTCTTCCCATTTATTAATAATTGCCCGAATAAAGAGAATCCCATTCCAACGGCTTTTCAATTTAGCACGATCATTATCACTGTTCTTTGTTCGGGGTTGCTGGGCCGCGGAGCTCAGTGATGAGAAGGCCCATCCATCCTTTTCGCTTGCAGACATAACGGAGCCCTGCGCCGGGAAGCGTGCTCCTGCCGCCCAGTGGTGGGAAGAGATATTTCAGGAGACCTGAGGCTGCAGAGAGTGAAGGAGCCGAGGCTGCTGCATTGCTGCAGCAACTGTCACCTTGAACTGCTGCAGCGCAGTGATCCACAAACCTCCAGAGGCGCTCTTTAGGGAAGGAGCCTGCCTGCTCCACAATGGCAATTTTGGAAGCAGCAATTTGACATTTGTACCCAAGTATTAGAGATCTCTGGTCCTCGGAGATGGACACCATTTGGGGGCAGGAGGGAGAGAAAGAATTCCTGCGCATACTTGCCAAAGAGGGATATGGATGGTGCTTTAATTGCCTTGGTTCAGTTTGTTGCTAGGGGGAACAAAATCTTCCCGAGTAAATATTTGATCATTAGCTGGGAATCCTCCTGAAACTGTTTTTTTTTTATTAAACTAAAGAAGATAATATTGAATAGAAAGCTACTTAGAGATATCTAAAAGCAGAGTTTCTCCGCCCAGGATTTTTTGGGGGACATCTGGCAGTGTTCCAGAAACATGTTTGGTTGTTGCAACTGGGCAGCGTGTGAATGCTCCTGACATTTAGTGAGCAGAGGATGGGGTGCTGCTAAATACTCTGCAATGTGCAGGACAGCTTCCTGAAAGAGTTATCTGACCTCAAATGGCCTCAGGACTGTGTTGAAAAATCCTAGTCTGAAGAATTCAGCAAAGGGAAAGGAGTCTTATGATTATTTTTTTAACTCTTTATCCAATATTCTGAGGCATTATGAAGGATGTGTGGAAGGCAGTAGGTAATTTATGGAGGCTATTGGGCTTGGGGGAGATGATATTGAGGATCAGAGAAGTTCACTGCATGAAAAGCTGTAACAGTGATGATTGAGTTATGGCTAAAAATTTA